TGTTGTTGGGTGGAACATTCTGTGTATATCTATCAAGTCCATTTGTTCACAAGTGTGATTAAGTTCTGTTATTTCTTTGCTGATATTCTGTCTGGTTTATCTGTCCCTTGGTGTCAATGGGGTATTAAGGTCTCCTGTTATAATTGTGTTACTGCTAATTTGGTTTTTCATTTCTATTAAAACTTGTTTTATATAACTGGGTGCTCTGGAATTTGGTGCACATATATTTAAGATTATTATCTGTTCCCCTTTAAGTTTTGCCCTAACCAGTATGTAATGACCTTCTTAATCTCTTCTGATCGTTATTGACTTGAAGTTCACATTGTCTGTAAACAGAATAGCCACCCTCACTTTTTTTGGATTCCTGTTGCATCAAGTATTGTTTTTCATCCTTTGACTTTCAGTATGTGAGTATCCTCTTGGGTTAGATGGGTTTCTTGTAGACAGCATATGGTTGGATTTTGTTTCTTGATCCATTCTGCCAGTCTGTTTCTTTAAATTGGTTCATTGAGACCATTTACATTAATGATTATAACTGTTGTATGTTGGTTTATTATTGACATGTTTTCTTCCTGCTGTTGAATCTTTATCTTTCTATTCTATTTAATTGTCTATTTTGCTTAGTGGTTTTTCCTAAGTGTATCTAAACTGTCTTTCAGTATTCTTTTCAGGGTTGTCTTGGTGATCATGAAGTTCTTCAGCTGTTCTTTGTCATGGAAGTATCTTATTTCTCCATCCATTTTGAAGGACAGTTTTTCAGGGTGCATCAGTCTAGGTTGGAAATCATTTTCCTTTAGGATCTGAAATACTTCACCCCATGCTTTTCTTAACTTTATTGTTTGTGCTGAGAAGTCTGCTGTGATTCTGATGGATTTTCCCTTTTAGGTGATCTGTCTTTTCTTTCTGACAGCTTTTAATATTCTATTCTTATGTTGGATTTCTGGGATGGTGATTATTATATGTCTATGTGTAGTTTTATTTTGGTTATGACTATTTGGAGTTCTGTATGCTTCACTGATCCTGATGTCAGTTTCCATTCTCATGTTTGGGAAATTTTCAGCTATTACTTCTCTAAATATCCTCCTGACATCTTTTATGCTGTCCCCTTCTTTTTCATTTAGCCCTATCAATCATATGTTGTTTTTGTTTGCATCATCTTACAGCTGTTGAATTATTATTTCCTGATTCCTTGTTATGTTTAAAAATTCTTGCCTTTCATGTTCACTAGCTTCAATCCTGTCTTTGAAGTCTGAAATTCTATCTTTACTCTCATTGAGGCAGTTGTTACAACTTTCAATGGAATTTTTGATTTCCTGTATATCTCTTTGCATTTGCTTTGTGTATTGTTTGTTCTTTATATTGTTCATCCAGTGATTCTATCTTTTTGTTTTTTGTTCCTCCAATTTTTTAACTGTGTCTTCTTTAGATATGTTCAGCATCTCTTTCATTACTTTTATCATTTCTTCTTTTACCTGGGAGATTATTTCTAGTTTGAATTCATTTTAAGCTTCCTGGAGTTGCTTCTTTATTTCAGTTGCTATTATTTCAGATATTTCAGGTGTATGGCATATATTTTCATCTATGTACAAAGCTCCTAAGGTTTCTTGGGATGGGCTGGAGGTTTGAGATTGCATTTTGGTCTTTCACTTTGTCATTTTTTTATATTTCTATGCTTCAAGTGTTGTTCCAAGGCTTCCCCTGGATGTGTTAGAAATTGTCTCTCATTCCCTAGGCTCCTGAGACTGAATGGAAGTTGCTTAGCTTTGTCCAGTTAGGCTCTCAAGCCCTCCCATGCCACCTTCAGTGTTTTAGGTATGGGCAGGTACCTAACCTCTGTGGATGATGGGTTGAAGCTCTCTGCGGGTGAAAACCAATGCCCTGGAACTTACTTTACCTACTCTCAATCTTGTAATTGAAGAAGGTCACTGGGAATAATATAGTTTGTCCACAAAATCTCCCAAGGCTAGTCTACTGTGCCTTGGCTCTGGACGGGTCCTTGAGCTCCAGAAGAGATGATATTAAATTCTCCCAAGGCTCAAGGTAGCACAAATTTACCTCTGCCTCCACTGAGTTTCCAGGTTTGGGAGAAGGCCACTGGCGTGTCCTGGAGTGGCCTGAAACCTGCCAAGCACAGCCCAGTGTGGCTGGGCTCTGGGCAGGTCCTTGAGCTCCAGAAGAGATGTTCTTAAAGTCTCCCTGGGGCTCCAGATGGCTTGAAGACTTACCCCAGCTGGCCATTTTTCATATGCTTCTTTATTGTTGCTTAGTGGCCTTTGATTTCAATTTGAAGGGCTCCTTTTAAAATTTCTTGCAAGGAAAGTCTAGTGATGATGAGCTCTCTCAGCTTTGGTCATCTGGGTAACACTTTGTTTTTCTCTTTCATTTTATGAAAGAAAGTTTTGTGAACACAGAATTCTTTGTATTTTTTTCCTTTTAGTATTTTGATTATATCATCTTACTCTCTTCTCTCTTGTGAGCTTTCTGTTGTGAAATTTAGTGATAATTTTCTGAGAGTTTTCTTATATGTAATGAATTACTTTATTCTGCTTTCAAAACACTTAATATCTTCAAATTTTGAATATTTGATAGTATTTATCTTAGAGTACATTTCTTGGAAATAAGCCTACTTGAAATTTCCTGAGTCCTTGAATAGAAATGTCCATTTATTTCTCACAAATTATGATGTTTTCAGTCATTAAACAAATTCTCTTCTTCTATATTCTTTCATTACTCTATTTTTTCTTCTTGAACTTCAATAATACATGTATTCTTCTAGTTAATACCATTACATAAGTCTGTTAGGTGTTTTTAGAAGTATTTCATTGTTTTTTTTTCTTCAGTTCTTACTGGATAATTTCAAATAATGTCTCAAATATTACTTACTCTTTCTTCTATCTGACAAAATCAGCTTTTGAAATCCTCTATTGATTTTTTTATTTCAATTATTGTAGTCTACGGTTCCAAAATTCCTATTTCATTTTTTATATTTTACATACCTGAAATTTTCTTTTGAGTTTCAGGAGAACTTATTTTTTCCTATGATTTTGGCTTAGTTTTCTGTTACTTTTGTGTGCCTCATAATTTTGTATTGGAGCACATGCACCTCTCCCAGTCTTTATAAACTGGCACTGTATAGAGAATGACTCTCTTGAATTAGCCCATCTATAAATTCAAGAAGACATCTGAAACTTTAAGGATAGAATAATGATTCTTTTGTATTTTTTGTACATGCAAGTACATAATGTGCAAACATAGATAGCTTTATATTATTTGTCTCAGTCTATGTACCTAGTTCTACAATTTTTAGGATGCCATTATAAAATACTTTACCAAAATAAGTTTTTTCCTTACAGTTATGGAGGCTGGCGAGCTAAGGTGAGGTTACCATTACAGTTGATTTCCTCCAAAACTTCACGTCTTGGTTGAGAGTTGACTGCCCTATTGTTGCCACTCCCCATATTCAACACTTGGGCACAGTACTTACATAGAATGAGTGCTCATATATGGCCTCATTGTTCACTCAGTTGTATCTTTGAAGATGCTATCTCCAAAAATTGTCACTTTCGGAAGTACTGAGCTGAAGGCTTGAACATAAATATTCTAAAGTGATACAACTCATTTTATTTTCTTTCCTTATTTCTTATTCATTTTATTTCTTTATTTCCTTATTTTCTTGCCATTTTCTTAATTGTGGCAGAGATATTTTATCTTCTCACCACAAGGGTGCTGTTCACTAGATTTTTTTTAATACATGTTCTTTATCAAGTTGGCAACGTCCATTTGTATTTGTTTTTTCAGAGTTTATGTACTTTTCATCTGTTTATACTATTATTACAAACACCCTTTTAAGTACAAAAATTGAAAGACATATATGGTCTTTTCTTATTAAGTGCTTAGTTTTTTTTTCTTTGTGTCTGCTGCCTACATTAATCTCAACTGCTTTTTCTCATTACCATATTTTGCAAGTAAACCCACATAAATGACATGAATCACTGCAGCGATTTTCTTCACTCCAACTTTATTTTCTTTAAATTTATCTTCCAAGTTATTTAGCTCAAGATGAGTTTTCCAAATTTCAAACCACCTGCTTTCAAGCAACTCAGATTATTATCTCTAATGCTAGCTTTGGCACAAACTTCAGTGATTTAGTTAACCAAAAGAAGCTGACTCTCCAACAAAATTGCAAACTTCCAAAAGGTAATTTGTTCCTCAGCTCACAAGATACTAGGGCATTTGCATAGACATTTTATAAAAATAGCAAAATAAGCATACACAGAGGCATAGAGGAGCAAGTTTTGGCTAGTATTCAATTTGATGACTACTTTGTTCCTATTTATTTAGTAAATGTTTCCCAGTAATAATTAACATAAGGCTGACATGACAAAGATACAGATTGAGAGAATGAGCACACAAAAATATTTGCAGCTCCTAACTCCCACTTTACTTCTTTGAATAAGAAGTGGTACCTCAGAGTACAGCTCAAAACCTGGGTTCTCAGAATACAAGCCTCCAAATTAATGTACATAGTAAAGATAACTTGCTGCTTTTTTATTATTATTTCCTTTTTGCAAAACATAAAAATACTTGTTCAAGGTGAAATTTAATAATCTTTTAACATACTGATACAAATACAAATAAAAATACTTGATTTAAAAATAATCTAGGCATCTTTGTCAATTATTCATGACTTTGTGTAGGAGGGAAAGGCACGCGCAACGACTGGCACTTGATAAAGTATTGTTTAAGCAGTCTAATAAAGTATAAAAACATTTTTAAGATTAAGATGTACATATTGATTCTGTGAAAATAAAATGTTGCTGAATATCAGTGGGGAGTATCATCATTAAAATTGCTTCGTGGCATCACCCATATCCAGGATATTCAGAATTAACATCTCAGAGAAGAAAGTAGTAGTATTTGGAAGAGATAAATTATATGTAAAAAGCTAAAAATGCCTCAAGAGAAACAAAATAAATAGCCACAATCAAGTGGTGAGATAATTAACAGAAAATAGCATGTTTCTTCTTTAGAAGTTTTTTTAGAGCCTCTTTGACATCCTTGTTTCTCAAAGAATAAATCAAAGGGTTCAGCATCGGTGTGATTAGAGAATAGCATAAAGAGGCCACTTTACTGAGTTCAGGAAATCTGTCTGGTGTGAGATACATAAAAAAGCCACCACCATATAGCACACTCACGACTCCAAGGTGAGAGCCACACGTGGAAAAGGCTTTCTTACGTCCTTCTGTGGAGCGTATCTTTAAAACTGTGGACACAATGTACATGTATGAAACAATAATCACTGCGATAGTAGGCAAGATAATGATGCTGGATAATGCAAAAGATACTATTTTGTGAATAGAAATGTCAGAACAAGATAATCTTTGTAGTGGACGAGTATCACAGTAAAAATGATCAACAGCCCGAAAAGTACAAAAAGATAAAGTAAATGTCATGCTGGATTGAAGAACTGAGCTGATGCAACCACAAAAATAGGAGCCAACCACCAGCTGAGTGCAGAGACGCGTTGACATCTGAACAGAATAGAGGAGTGGGTTACAGATGGCAACAAAGCGGTCATAGGCCATGGCAGCCAAGAGAAACCCCTCAGTCACAATGAAGAGCGTGAAGAGAAAGAACTGGGCTACACAGCCTGCAAAAGAGATAGACTTGGTCTGGGACCAGAAGCTGGTCATGGCTTTGGGTGCAATAACAGATGAATAGAAGAGATCAATAAAGGAGAGGTTGCCTAGGAAAAAATACATCGGTGTGTTCAGCCGGGTATCAGTTATAATAATCGCCATCATCCCAACATTCCCTAAAATGATCATGGCATATATGAGTAAAAATACCAGAAAAATAAAGATACAGAGTTCAGTGCGGACCCTGAAGCCTACAAGAATGAAGTCAGTCGTTTCTGAGTGATTGCTTGTTCCCCTGTCACCCATGGAAGACACCTGATGAGAGACACAAGACAAAATAAACAAACAGACTTTTATCACTGATTCTAGCATTACAAATAATATCTAAGCATTTGCATTTACAAGGCTATTCTATCATCATTTTTAATTTTAGCTTAAGAGTAATTTTGTTACTTAGAAACAACTGATACAGAATCCAAATATCATTTTCATTTCATAATTCCTAAAAGTGGTAGAATTTGCTCTTTTTTCTGTGTATCTGATACAATGTTTTTATACCAAAATACTTTTTGTATTTGCAAATAACACTGCATGTCTCTCCCTGTGATTTACACAGTAGCCTCACCATCACAGAACAGTGATTGGAAAAGAGGATAGATAATTGAGTTCAGGAATATTTTTGTACTGCTGATTTGGATGTACTAAGATCTCCTTGTGATCTAATTTAGGAATGCTTGGAGATTTCAATTGGAACACCAACAAATATAAAGAAAGTGGATGGGATTGTTTAATTACTTAAGATGCTTAGTTGCCTTTTGTGCATCATAGAAACTGAACTGTAATACACATTGTGCATCATAGAAACTGAATTCTAATGCACAACTAATTACAAAAATGATTCTCATGTTCCAGTATTTCTCTCCTGAAAAAACTACCAATACTATTTCATGAAGAAAATTTTCCTTGCTTCCTATGCCATGCTTCATATTTACTTAAAAGATCTATAGACGAGTTGCTATTCAAACTGAGTATGCATATGAAATAACTATTAATTATATTCTTATTTACTTTAATTATGCCTTCATAACTATCATTAATTCATTTTCTAGCTCACATACATTTTAAATTCTACTGAGAATAAATTACATCTTTCCCTTCAGAATATGAATACTTCTATAAGTACAATAATAATCATAGCCAATATTTATGGGCTTTTAAATAGCTTGGGTACTTTTCTACATGTTTTCAGTACGTAATAATATGAGCTAAATGCTGTTGAACCATTATGTTCTAAATGGGACAGTGGACAAATTCTTTATATTTTCTGTCATCATCTTCTTACACACAAAGGAGGCATGAGAATAAAATAACTCAAAGTTTTCTTGCCCATGACAGTAAAAAGACATATGAAGTTAAATCACTTAACCCAATTTATGGCAATGTAATCAATAAATATTATTCATTTTTGTTTGATTATATTTTGTAGTATTTGATCCCATAATTTATACCAAATTAGTGCTACTTTGGCTGATAGTTAATAATTCTAATTATATAAATATTTGGGGTAAATGATCTTAAGGTGAGGAAGTAAATCAGTGAAATTTTTAAAAGTTTAAACAGAATGAAGAAATTTGTAAGAAATATAGTATTTAAGAAAAAATACTATGGGAAAATTTGCATGATATTTTATCATCATTAAAAACAGCATTTAATGTAGAAAACCAATATTCACCACTTGCTTCTAAACTTAAGTATGCAGGTTTATATTATAAAAAAGCAATATTTAAATTAGATTATATTTTAGGATCTGAGACTCTATGAGAGACCCAAGTACTAAAAGAGAGCCTAAAGGGATCATAAACTCTTTTTTGTTGTACCAGGGATCAAATTCACGACTTCGCACATGCCAGGCAGGCACTTATGCCACTGAGCTAAATCCCCAGCCCAGGATCATAAAATATTAACTCTTTACAAATATTTTATTTATTTTGATTAGATATTGTATAGAAATAAAGACAAATTATTTAAATTTCCAAGATTTATCCTTATATTCATTCCATTATGATTTAGAAATATGAATATTAAATATTTACTGTTTCTCTTCTGACAATAGCTTCATTAAAATCAACCCAACTTGTCCTATGCGTATTTATCATCACTATAATGTTATGTTTGACAAATAAAAGACATAACTTTATTTTATAGATAAAAGTTGAATCACCTTGAGCATGTAAGATCAGACTAATAAGGAAATATCATAAATATTAATAAATTTACAACTGAAGACAAAATACATGAAAAAGAGATTTTTCCCAAAGTATCTAAGAAACAGAAAATTCATCTATAAAAGTGTCATAATTTTAAATGTTACTTTTACCTTGTGTCATTTGGTAGTTTTCCAGATTCCGTTAAAAATAAAGCAATAGAATTCCAATATTTTTATTTTGTCTTGTTCTAATTCTAGAAAGAGTAAACACAAAGTTAACTAATAACTCATAACTTTAATTACTGAAAAATTACAACTTTGATATAAAAAGAACTCCTTACTCCGAATGAATACATGTTCATGATACCAGTTTTACATGTTCCAGAGAAATGTGACCTATATCCCTCATTACCCTTCTTAAAAGATGTCATAACTTTTAGTAGTTAATTTCTTTAAAAGGATTGTATAGACTTTTTTAGAAGAGAAATGTGAATATTAGACTATCAGAAAGTCTAAAACAATTCCAAGAACTATTTTGTATTGTTATGCAAAGTAAACTTGTAGAATCCAACAGTAGGATAGTCTTTCTTGTATTCTTAGATGCTTCTATGCTTACAAGGAAAGAGAGTTAGATTACAATGGATAAGTTAAAAGGGCCCTAAACCATCTGGAATCTTGGTACTCTGTCAAAATTTCACTGTTCATAAAGGCTTTGGATTTTGTATAATAGTGCAATACTTTCAAATAATTGTACCACTGAGATTTCCCTTACCTCCTGAGAGGCCATCCCTGTAGGAAAGAAAGAAATGTGAATCAATTATTAAGACATCTAGGTCCAGGATCACAAAGACTTTTGATTTACAAAAAAAAAAAAAAGAAAAGAAAAAAGCATAAAAAGAAGCATTTTCAATTTACTTTTATAGCCTCAGATTTCCTAAGTACTGGGACTCTGACAGACACCAGCATTCCTAGCTAAATTGGGTTTTTCTGAGACCATATCTTTAGAGTGCTCTTCCAGTGATTAATAGTAGTCAAAGAAGAACAGGTGAGCCAACAAAGAGGCCCAGTAAGTAAACACATATCACATATAAATGTGAGTTACCTTTCAAGTGATCTGACATTTAAGAATATAAATGTAAACTCACGATGTGGCAATGGGAAGCAGAGACAGGTCAAGTGAGGATGATGGATAGATACCCTTCCAAGCCAAGGCCACAGTGAACTACCTCTTCTCATCTCCCAACTTCACACCCAGTTATAATGCCATCAGTGGACTAGTCCAAAGAAGAGTATCATACAGTAATGATCAAGTCCCCTCCTCAAAACCCCACCTATGAATTTGTGAGGCTTGAAGGGATATGCAGATACAAACCATCACATTCTGTTCCTAGCCCCTAATAAGTTCAATGTATCCCTTATACAAAATACAGTTAATCCATCTCTAAGAGTTGCCAAAGTCCTAATAGTTTTAGCATTGCTAAAAATTCAAGCCCTATTTCTCCTGAGATTTAAGGCAAATTCTTAGCTGAGAGGTTCTTTTTTAAGGAAGCAAGAGGCATTATGGTAACCATTGTTGATAACCTTGTATTCTATTTTTAAATCATGTGCTATGTCTATCCTTTGTTTTGACTGACTGCTTTGTTTTGTCATATTTGCTTTTATTCTCTTCCAAAAAAAGTAATAAAACTATGGGAGTAATAAACCCAAAATGTGTAAATTTTGTTGTAAAAAAGAGAGGGAAAAAAGTGCTCTAAAGGATACAACTGCAAGTGTATTTAGGTGTGTTAAGATATATGATTATATTACTGAGTTTTTGTTGGATCACTGAACACAACTGTTTGCAGTCTCATTGTTTGAATGTCCAATTTATATGCTTTAATCTTGTAACTTGAACAACTATTTCTAATATGACAATATGTAATCTATTAACTAGTGATTTCTTACCTTTTTTTGTAATTCTTATTACTTGTACCCTTGTACTGTTTTGTTATTTTTCCTTTAAATAAATAAAAATAAAAAAATTAAATGCTTCCAACATACAGTGATACAGTGAGGGTCCCTGGGTAACCATTTCCTTTCTAAAAGGGAAAAATTAGAAGATAAAAAGGAATAGGACCAGAGCAAGACTGAAATCGAGCAGAGCAAGCATTAAATCCTGTCATTCCGTGCCCAATACCCAGAGCAATCTGCAGCAAGATGTGAACTCCAAAAGGCTAAGGTGGCCCCATTCCTACACCACTGTAGAGGTTACAGTCTTTGTGCCCTTACTATGGGGCTGACTTTGCTTGCTCCTCATGATTTTCCTCAGACATTCCAAGTTCCTGGCCTCTTAAAGTCTGAAGTCTCCACTGCACTAGTTTCACCTTCATAGATTCATGCATTGCCCTACCACCATTGCCTGATCTCCCTGGCTTTCTGAAATGCAAGTGGAAGCCTCCCTCTTTGACCATGTAACTTTTACATTCTTCATACACCTAAAACCATCACTGTGTGTGATTGAGTTGAAACTGTACTCAATCTAGAGTAGTGCAGAATATTAAAATACAGGAGACAACTAGATAGGAAATGAGTTTAATGAGGGCATGGAGGGTGTCACCACAAAAAAGGCTGTGGCAGCTCTCTGCAGACAAAGGGCAGGTTCTTCCTGACATAGGCTCTGATGGGGGAAGGGCTCTGGGCGCTGATGTGAGCTGAGACCCAATAGGTTATCTGAGGTCAAGTCCCTACTGCGGTGGTGCACACTAACCACACTGGCCCAGTGGGGCCTTGGAGGTTTGGCTAGTCCAGACGGGAGGTGGCACAAATTAATACAGTAGTGCAGGCCACAGCAGCTTGACTGATCTGGAGGGAAGGGGCCAGCATATGCTGTCCCTGTCTGCAACTCACTAGCACACTGCAGTGTGAAAGGGTCATCTAGCCAGTGTGCTTCAGAATAATTGCAACCAACAAAGAAAGAAACAGGGGCCTCCTAGAAGAAGTAAAAAAGATGGGAAAAGGAAGCAAGAACAAAAAGTCCCGAGGCTCCAACCCTGAGAACATTGTAAATACAAAAAAGAATGAGAACAGCAAACATGCAATATCAGACACAGCACCAGTGGACAAAAAAGATATATTCGGGACCTCAGAGATGAGTTCAAAAGTGAAATATTTTGCCAAATAAGGCAAG